AATACCCGGACAGACGAACACACACACACACACACACACAAACATACACACACACATACATACATATACACACAGACAGGGTCGTCCCAATATGCGTTTTTGCAATTTGCGTATAGGCAAAAACGCATAAAAATGATAATAATAACAACAATAATAGCACCTCATCAAGTGCACCATACGCAATTTCCGCTGCATAAAAATTTTTAGCATCGGCGGCCATTACCGCAAGCATACCCCACATATAATCTTCCTGAAATCTGAAAAGGTAGCTTGCACTGCGCATTGTAGCCGCCGATTAGCCGGCAAGCATTTGCATGAAACTCATTGTACTAATGGCTATGCGAAACTGATTCTTTTTTCAAATGATTTTTTGGCCCATTCAGCGTAGCTAAAACGTCTTTATGAGATTTAAAAGTTCATTGCAGTTGATTCATCCCACATTATTTGGTGCAATGAAGTTATAAAATTCGCAGTTTCAAGTTGTTTTCATTCCCAGCCTATAGTTTCTGATTAAATTTATACCTGATGACAAAGATGATGGTAGTGAGGAACTTGTAAAAGGAATTCAGTTTTATGATTAAGTACATACGTGGGAACTGATTTTTCGAATTACAGCTTCAGTAGTTTTGCATTCCTAGTCTTAAATTTTTTCTGAACAAGCATGCGCAATTAACTGGCACACTCAGCACACACACAACAACACACAGACACACACAAATACAAACACATAACACATATACAGAAAACATACACACACAAAACACATACACACAAAAACACACACACACAAAAATACACAAAACACATATACAGAATACTCACACGCGTCATATGAATATATATAAATCACCTCACACACAAGCACATAGACAAGCAAACGAACAACGCGCACAAACAAACAACATGTGCACAAAAATAAGCATACATATACAGATGTTGTTATGACCTAATGCATTTTTTGTTTCATAGAGAAAAAATAATGAGAATAAATAAATCACTGGTGTGTAAAAGTAACTTTTACAAAAAACTAACTTTAATATGTCGGCATAAACGAATCGCTTGATCCCATCTAGAAGCGGCAATATGCGCACATAAAGCTGCTGGAAATGGCGTTATAGAGCAGGGGATGAGTGCGCCATCCGATCGTCGCACTGACACATGGTTACCAACAAACCTGCGCAATAAAAGCTCAAAAGTGGCCCTTGCCAATAATCAGGGTTTTCTCGGACAGAAAGTAGTACTTTAGGAAATTCTAGTAAAGGAAGTACTTTTCAACAAATACATCGGAAAAAACGTTTTTTTTTTTTTCATTGAAAAACAGTGTCCTCTTTTGAATTTATACTTGATAAATCAGTATTATGTTCTCACTGAAATAATGAATTCGTAGAAAAATTAATTTTCCCAATGGCAGACATCAAACCGTGAATTAAAGTGTGGTAGTGATGTGCCAAAAAGGGCTGTTCTGCAACTCAAAATTAATTCATTGCAAGGAATTTCAAAATCAAACGTTAGTAAATTTGGGGCTTTGCCAAGGTCGATATCATCCTTCTCGAATATGGTTTTTTGAAGCATGTCACGATCGACAAAAACTGATGACGGATAGAGCCATACAACCAAATGATTATCTTGCAAACCAGCTAGCATGTTAGTCTGATCGTTAAAGTGAATATTTGTAACCACAGCGCCTTCAAAATATATCATTTGGTGTTAGTTGAAAGTAAGATGGGTACTGGCAAGAGGCATCTAGCCCACGAGAAAGGCCCCTGTTGTGCCTAACTTATCAGGGCTAATATGCAATGGTATCACAAATATAGAATACCCACACTGATAGTCTGAACGGCCCAAATATTTCTTGGCTTCTGCATCGCAATATAACAAAAATTACTATGGCCAGGAGAAGAAATGTTTCTTTTTTTAAGGCTTGGTAACATTTTTATTTCAGCTATCACAGTGTGAAGGGAAATGAGCGCTTGAGTGACTTTCCAACATGTGGCGTGTTTACTACTACTAAACACGTCTTCAACGGAAGCCTGCAGCTCGGGACCAAAGACTATGGCACAACTGTACCGACTGCTCCCGGTAGTCCCGATGACATTTCTGTGGCACAGGCATTGAGGGGAAAAAAAACAAATATCCTCTCAAAAAAGTGCTAGCCAGGACCTGATAGGCGCATTCTGTTGATCAGAAGATAATTAACTCACCAATTTTAGCGATTCTTTGTGAAATCCCGTAAGTTTTTACGAGTGCCAAATAGCAGTCCAAACTTTTATCAATGAATGCTACTTTTCGGCCACTTGGCGGCCCGCACTGATCGATTGCTATTTTGATTACGTCGTTCTGCAGTACTTTTTTGATTGCATATTTGACGTATGTTTTAGATTTCGACTAATACTCATTTCAGAGCCCCCGAAAAAGCGAACATAAGAGGAGTTTTGATTTTTGTTCGGCAGTGATTGAGCAGACTTTGGTAAATTAACAAAGAAAGAGTTTGTCTTGAATTCTCCACGAAGTTCTTCAAACTTCTTTTCAAATTGATCTTATCTTACCGTATGCGTAAGCTTTCCACTGCCTGCACTTTTTCCAGTGATTGTTTCAAATAAATGTATAGACTTCGGGTCAATACGATCACGAATCGCCGTAGTATCGTTCGAAATAGCAGCAGATTTTTCACTGATTAATTCGCCGGCTGCACTAATTGCTGGTTGTTTTAGCGTACACTGCATGCGACCTTCGTAATTGTACACCTGCACTAGCGCTCCATCTACCATTAAAAAATACCTAAAAACTTAAAATTAATCCTGAAATTTGCATCAGTTCATCGCCTTCCTCCTTTGCCTTTTTTTTACATTGATATATGATCGTTACGAACTGATTCTAAGCAATGCTCCTCACCAAATTTTATGACTGAGGTCCGGCGTCGTGCTGAAAAGGAAAAAATACGACCTGACAGATTAGGACATTCTCCTCGCAGCTTCATTTTATCTTTTTTTCCCCCACAAAAATTGCTGTTTTTTTACTTCACATTTCCTGCCAATTATTTTCTCAAGCTCCCTGCTGTTAACAAAAAAATTGAGCTATTCCATCACTCCTCTAATAATATGCCACCTTCTTTCATTCACACTGTTTACACTTACATTTATGCTGATTATAACAGTAAATTGATCGTATCGAAGCAGCGATGACTGCAGAGCAAGGAGATTCGATGTCTCTCACATTTGGAACCAGTACTACTTACTGCACGGTTTTTATCTCTTCAAAAACCAAGAGGTCGACTTTTTTTCCATAGTGATAACTGAGGAAAATAATTGGCCAACGCACGGGCTGCCCGCGAGAAGATGCGTTTTTTGCATAGTTCCCCACAGTTTTTGTTGCTTCTGGCGCCGGCTTTTTTGACAAATGCTTCTAGCTAAACAAATTAAGACTGGCCGCCAGAACTGTCAGAAAACACTCTCTTAAAATTTCAGCTTTCTAGCTTCCCTGACTCCTGAGTTAGCAACTTACTGGAGAAAAATTTTCACGGGCCCGTGCATATTTACCGCGCATACCTGAGAGTTGGGTTTGAGCTGAATGAAACTTGGGTGGACAGGATATATCCCCTTAAAATTACAGTCCTCTAGCTTCTCAGATCCCCGAGTTATGGACTTACTCGAAAAAAATTTTGGCGGGCTCGTACGCGAGTACCATGCTTACCCGGGGACTGGGTTTGAGTTCACCAATACCCACTTGGACGGGGAACATCCCCCTAAGATTTCAGCTTTCTAGCTTCTCAGATCCCCGAGTTATGGACTTGCCGGAAAAAAATTTTGACGGGCCCGTACGCGGGTACCAGCGGATAATGGCGCCAATTTTGGGGATTGGGGTCCATACGTGCATGTAGATTAAGTTCCCAAGTTTCAGCCCTGTAGCTTTTGTAGGTCTTGAGATGAAAAACCGTGACACACGCACACATGGACACACAGGTCCCCAAAGTTTCAGCTCCGTAGCTTTTGCCGGTCTCGAGATGAAAAACCGATACAGAGGCCCAGCGCACACACAGACACATCGCAGCTTTTATAGGTCCGGAGATGAAAGTGCGTGACAGACGCACACACAGGCACACAGACACACGAACACACAGACAACCTCTCGTCAATATGCGTTTTTCGCATTGCATTGCTGCAAAAAACGCATAAAAATCACACAGACAACCTCTCGTCAATATGCGTTTTTCGCATTGCATAGCTGCAAAAAACGCATAAAAACTGTCTTCTATGTATTTTTTGAGGAACTGCTAAACTTGCACTTTCCGGCTTGTATTTCAAATTTTTTCAGAATAGCTCTTCCCCAGAAAAAAACTTTTATATTAAATCATTACTTTTCGCATAATAAAATCAGTGATACGCTGCATTCCTTCAAATCCATAATAATCGGTGTATTCCAGTTCTTTGCACTGCAATTACTTTTTTACATACTCATAAATGAGTATCAAAAAAAAAAGATAGTAAGTAGGTCATTTTATGCTTTCCAGTGTGCTGTTCAAAAAATCATTAACAACGACCCTTCTGCTACTCCTTTCCAATCAGCTGTGTCTCAGAAATCTAGCTTTGCCATCACAGTTTAATACTCATCACAAACCTATTACTATTATCAATAATAAAATTTTTGTCCTCAGATATTCCGGTGAAAAGGTTACAGTTTAATCAAAAGCCAA